ACTACCAAATGAAGAAGATCTTGACACTGTCCTCGTACAGAACGTCAAAGCAGGCCAGGCACTTTTCTTTTCGTTGGCCTTGTGGGTTCTTGTGACCATGTGTGTGGTTCAATTGTTCAGTGTGGGGGTGAGTTCCATTCTCCCAGGTTAAATGAAGGAGGTCATCAATACAGTCCCAAATCTACGTATACCAAAAATCACTTAACTATAAATTATATTCTGAAAACTATTATATTTATATTTACTATTGTTATATTAATATTACTATTCTAGTATTCTTATCACGTTGTCACATTGTCATTGATTGTTTGTACCCACATTTACCCACATTGATCTACTGTTGCTGTTTTATTTTTGTTGCCTGTGCCAATCTCCTTGGCTAAATCCCTTCACTTCCTGCATACCGCATACCTTTCAGGCCGGTTGCACTTCTACTTTGGCGAAGGTATGGAGGGGACATCGCCCAAACCAGTCTCCGCTCTTGTGTCCAAGATCTGCCAAATACTCTATGGACCTTACGCACAAGAAGATTGCTTCATCCTTTCTCGGGCAGCCTCGCTTTGGTCTGAAGCCATGCCATTTGTTCAGGATGCTTTGCGGCTGGACGCCATGATTCAAGACAAGTTCCCCGTCATTGCTGCTGCTTCCAAAGCTCTCGAGAGGCTGGAAGCTTTGATGGCAAAAGGCTTTGTCCAGTACGCCAAGAGTTTCCTCAAATCTGAAGGATTGCCAGGCGTGATCAGCAGACTTCAAACTGCCTTGAAAGGATGCAAAGTGCCTGGACCTGTGCAGCAAATCGTCAATGATGTCAAGGTCTGTGACACCGTTTCCCCAGCATCCTTGGCCGTCGAACTAGACAAGCATGACTATGACAAGTTGAAGGACGCTGTACCGCTCTATCTCAAGGTCCAGTCTGTGGACAAGACTTTTGTGCAGGAGACAATGCCAGACTTTGCCAACAAGATTGAGGGTTTCATGTCCCGCTTCAGCGTCAGCATCAAGGGATGGATGAAGGACAAGATAAAGCACCTCAATCAAGCCCATGAGGACTTGGACAAGTTCAGGCACATCACATCCCGCATTCATACACATTCACATTCCGGTAACATTCCAATATGACCTATTTCATTCATTCAGACACAGACGTCAACTAATTAAACCACTCATTCAATGACATTCATGAATTCCTTCATTCATTCATTATTTGATTCATTCATTCAAATTATTTCATCCAATTATTGTTTTGGTGGCATTTGGTGGCTGTAGTGACTATCGGGGTGTGTAGTGTTTGTTGGCTGAATTATCTAGTGGTAGGTTCTGAGGGTCCAGGGTTTGAATTGACCTTTTGGTTTGACAATGCGTGGGGTAGACAAATAGGTGACCGTGACCCTGAATTGTGACTCTGACTGTCAGTGTGTCAGTGTTTATTTGAATATAAACAAAATAGAATAACATTAACATATCATATCATGCAAACAGCCTTGCCTCAGGCCACTCGTTGGTGCTATGGAGCAAGGGACATATGAGAAGGTGTCCTGGATGTTCGACCGCTCTGAAGAGAAGCAGGAGGAACGGAAGGTGCAGTTGCAGGAGCTTCTGGAGAATCGAGATGCCTTTGGCAAGTTCATCCCGCTTCTCAAAGCTGTCCAGGGTGTTGGCACCTTCCCTATCAGTGAGAAGACCTTGAAGGAATCCTTGACCAGCTGTGAGGACAGCAACGGGCATAAGGCATACACACACAAACCGAAAAGACTAGGGGAACTGAGACTAAGGACTAAGGACTGACTAAGACGTGGTTGATTTAGCCTTTGAGTTGGCAATATTAATATTGGCATTGAACTTCATTGAACTAATCATATATTATAAATCATCATATCATATTATCTATCATATAAATATATAATATAAGTTTATCTTGCTCTAATCATATGATATCGTATCCGTATGAGTCCTGTGATGAGTCATATGATTATGTCACTCTTTTGTCTAGGACCCTTTCCAGTATCAATGAGACTGTTTTTGCTTTGCAGTTGATTTGTAAGATTTTGTAAGTAAACAGTAAGCAATAAGTGGCTACTAGCAGGTTCTATATTGTTTGCAGGAATACCGCCACAATGTCTCGGTATTTGTGATCCTCTTGACTGTGGGCGCCTTGGTGGTCAACCCGGAGGAGGGCCTTGATGCAGATCAGCGGAAGGCAAACTGGGCCAAAGCCATCCAGTTCGGGGCCAGTCTTGGAATGTCCAAGGCAGACTTGCCACAGGACCTGCAGACCAAGGTGGAGAACTGGCTGAGGTCTGGCAACCCCTTGGATGAAGGCGATGTGGGTGAGGAGGCAGCTAAAAAGAAAAAGCGCAAGTCCTCAGACACGCAGAACTTGGGCAAGAAGCAGCAGCGTGTGCAAAAGCAGCAGGGGGCAGAACGTAAAAGGAAGAAGAGCTGAGTCTGTGACAGCGAGCCATAGATTAGTTTTTCATGGGGTACTTGGCCAAACAGTGTAAATCACTGTGAGATGCCATCCATTTTGGGATCCTTTTGGGCATCCAAACCTCAGCCACAAAATAAAACAACAACCACACCACACCCAGTACACAATACACTACAGCAGCTGAGTTAGTTTATGCGAACATGTTTACCAGGGTCTAGCGTGGCAGGGGAAGGGATTAGACCCAAGAGCTTTGAAGGTAGAAATCGAAAGCGCATCGGCCCGCATCTGATGCATTGTCATCATTTTGAAAGAGTAAGGGCTGAGGCACTCTGCAACAAACAGACCAAGACTTGGCCCTGAGTGAAAATCAAATCACTTTGCTGCAATGTGAGGTGTGTGACTGACAGGATGGACAGGATGGACTGGAGTGTGGGATGAGTGGAAACGGGAACAAACAAAACGAACTACCTTTTTCCACACTGACTCACTGGACACTAGCTTTAAGACTCTCAGCCAACGAGTACTCAACAAATCAACACACACTTGCCCTAGGAACAGCACCTGAGAGTGGAATCCAACCATAAGAATTTTAATAATAGCTCAGATGATTTTAGTAATAGCTCTGAGGATTTTAGAAATAGCTCTGAGGATTTTAGAAATAGCTCTGAGGATTTTAGTAATAGCCCTGACCTGTCAACAGACAAATAGGCTGACCCAGCTCTTAAGTTATGTCTATTATATTATTTTACTGTGAACTATACATTCTTATATTATACTATATTATCTATATTATATTATGTTATGTTATATTGTATTATGATATAATGGTATAAAGTAAACTCTGTGTAACAAGAGTAAATAACACAGCACGTTTCCTTTCAACAGGCCCGTGAAATTCCAAGAAGAGTGGCAATCCATGCCGTGGCCAAGGAAAACTGTGCTCGTGAAGCGGCCCTGAAGCTGAACGATGTGCAAACTGAAATGATCCGCTCTCGGATTCACACGGAACTCGGCTCAGCAAATGTACAGATCGTGTGCCGGTTTGCACCAACTCGAGCTTCACCGCAAAAATCCTTGGCTATGTGGCTTTGATTGGGGTGCGAATTCCATTCTCATCAACAAATCTGATTGATCTGGCCTCGCTACTAGGGGCTCCTGGCCGTACTACTAGGAGCAAGAAGCTACGATCGGGGCTCAGTAGCGATCGGACGCTACGAACGGGGCTCCTGGCCTTACTGCTAGGCTCCGTCGCCAACGTCTGCGCACGTTCGGCCCGACGCCAGGGCGACCGGCTACGGCTACAGCGGCTACGGCTACGGTTCCAGCCCCTATGGATCCTTGGGAGAACCTGACACTACCTTGGAGGAGCTCTTTCAAGCCTATGCCAGGCGCTGGAAGACAAAAACGCCTTTCGACGAGCTGGTTGGTTCGTTGTATTTTTGGTTCTTGATTCATGTCTTGGATTTTTTAAAAACATTGGTCAACAATCAACATCTCCGATTGCTCTTTGATCGTGAGGGCGGAGCAAATCGATGGCTACAAATGCGAGCGATGCTCCTCTCGGAGACTTGGCCTTTGATTCTGATGGTTGTAAGTGGCACCGTTCGATCATGACAGTTCTTGATGGAATACCAACACTTTCAGAATCTCCAATGCACGTCTTTCTGGCATCAAGCCAAGACTTCAGAACAGGACAGGCTGTGAGCAGAGCACCTACATCAAGAACAAACCCAATGTCTTGGTGGTCTACATTTCCCGCCAGAAGGCAGTTTGTGAATCTGTCAAGCGTTGATTCGTTTGAGGATCATAGCGTGACCGACTGCGCAGGACACGAACCGTTTTGGCAAGATCAATCGAAGCGTCAAGCATGGGACCTGAGCTGTTGGGCTTTGGCGACCGCCGGCCGGTCGCGAAGATCGTGTGAGGTTCCCTGAGCGTTTGGACTTGTCACCTTTCTTGGAGGCCCAGATCCAAGCGGAGAGGTGCTTTGCCTTTTAGACATGAACCGGGCAACACTCGCCCAAGGGCAGTCAGCAATCGGGCAACACTCGCTATGATCTCTACGGCGTGATCGCACCTTGCCAGCCTTGCCAGAGAAGAAGGGGGGCACAGTTCAGCGAATCGGGTGCACCATCCATGTTGCTTCATCTGTCTGAGGTGCACAAAGACGTGAACCGGTCGACCTTTTTCGGGCACTACATCGCCTATGTGAGGGACTTAACCTGTGTCACTTACGTCGCTGGGACTGTGATGATGATGTGAGGTCCGGACTGCTGGGACGCCATGCCCTGAGTGGACAGAGTATGATTGTAGCAGAGACGTGAGGATACGGCCGTGCAGCCGGGAACAAGATAGATCGAACAAATTGGTTTTGACCGTCCACCTTAAAGGGTGGTCATTTTTCTTTTGTTATTTTAAACATCATCCCGAACAAACAAGAAATATCAAAGGTGATCTAAATCTACATCTTGTCCGTGAGGGTCACATCAACCAACACTTAGAGGTTGATGTCCACAAGGTCGTTCCCAGGCTGTCCTTCGACTCCTTGTGGGAACGACTCCTCAGGTGGTTCATGATGGATGACTCCATCGTCACCCGCGTGAGCTGGACCACGGTCAAGGATCTGATGCAAACGGTTTGGAGTTGCGGCTTGATTCGTCGGGGATCGGCGGTTTGGGCCACAGGAGCAACATGCAGACTTGTTGTTCTATGCAGCAGAGTCCGTGGGGACCATAGGGTGTGGTGTTGGGGTTGAACATCATTTGATGTGATGAACACATTTGCACATCATTGTCAAGGGAAAGCATCTCCGCAGCAAGGTGCAGCCACCGCCTCTGATGGAAAGCTTGAAGCCGCTCGCGCCGCAGCCTGCGGTGGGCTCGCAAGCCCCATGCGAGGCGTCTGTGGCCGCCCGGGGGGGGGGCCCACCGTGGTTCCAGGGACTTGCGACCAGAGTGGAGGCATACAGGAACTTCTTGTGTGGTGGAAAGGTGACCGGCCAAGCTTTGGGACCGGGGCGACTCCGACTCCGCTACCGAGTCAATGGGTCACTGGGATCTACAAGACCTCTCTGGCAATTTGGGACCGAAGTGTTTTCGGTTGGAGCAATTCTTCTTCTCCACAGCGGGTGTGAACTTGTGAGCTAAAGCCATTCGACGGAATCTGGGTTCTCAAAGTGCAGGCACAAAGGATCCGAAGGATTTCTCCCCAGAGAACGCCTTCTTCATCCTTCTTCCATGTGGGACACCACAGGAAATCCTCCAAAGTCGATTTCCGTTTGATTTGGTTCGCGCTTTGTCCTCTCGGCGTTCGAAGCCTCGAAGGCCGGTGCAAGGTGGCCAGCTCAGATGACACGTCTCCGCAGAGACTGATCTTGGAAGAGAGTCCACGTTGCTCAAAGAGTCCACGGTGTCCACGTGCCTCTTCTCGCGTTCCTTCATGCCATGTTCGTCGCTCGTCGCGCGTGTTGTTTCCAGCAGACGTTGCCGATCTCTTTCGTGTCTCTCTTCTTCTCTCTTCTTCTCGCGGTTTTGGTTTCTTCACTCCTCGCGAGGCCTTACGGGATGGTGAATGGCGTGAATGGTGTGAATGGGAAGTCCAGGCGAAAGACCGGGGCGCCTGGGACGACGAGAACTTCACAGACTTCGTCCTCGGCACGAGGGGGCCCGAACTTGGCCACCCGGGAGCTCAACTTGCTTGAAGAGCTGGAAGACCACACAGATGGAAGAAGAGACATCTCTTGTGGGTTCGCTGCCGTCATTCGGAAGATTTGGAACATTTTGCAACAGTTTGAGTGGGAGAGAGATTCCGGAGATGGTTTGTTCATGAGTGTGGATTCGTTTGTTCGCTCACCGGGCCACCGATTCGTTGTTCGCCCGGTCACGAGCTGCACGCCCGACGGAATCGCACGCGTCGCGGTGCGCAGGTCGCCTGAGCGAGTCGATGCTCTAGAGAGGCCGGGCTTGTCACTTGTGAAATGGGTCCCTCCAATCAGGTGGGAACTCGAAAAAACCCGCATGGGTATACTTATTGTAACCGGCTATGCTTGGGGGTATCACTGGTATCACCCTTCCTTTGGAAAGCACAGTACCTCTTCGTTTCGTTGGCAATCATCCATAAAGGAATGGATAGGATGTCGAGCTATGACACACCGTTTCAATGAGAATGGGCTCCTGGTGCAGGCACCGCAGCCGCCAGGAGGCGGGCGCATCAAGTTTGGAGATCTGCCACCGTATACTACTACTACTACTACTCCTCCTCCTACTCCTACTCCTACTCCTACTCCTCCTGCTCCTGCTGCTGCTGCTACTGCTACTGCTACTGCTACTATATATATATATACACTACTCCTTACTTACTTGCAAAAGATGCTGTCAGGGATCGATTTTGTGTGGGCACAGTTATTTCTATACAAGAGATGAGGTGATCCCCTTCACCCGACCATGGATGGTGGAAAACGCTTTCTTCAGCTTGCCGCACGCCACGTCATGAGATGCTCGCACGACGTCGCTCGCAGGTGGAAGACCGAAGGCCAGGGACGTCGGTTTGGGAGACCGTCCAGTCGATCGTTGGACCGTGGACTGGTCGCTGGACTGGTCGCTGGCTCGTGGCATGTCATGTTTGGTCCAGGTTGGGCCGAAGTGAGGTGAACGGGAGATCCAGGCGAGATGGAGGGGCCGAGATCTCGTCGCACGGAGCGTCCAAAAACGAGGTACCGCCGCTTTTTTGCGACCCCGTGCGATTCGCACAGCGCCGAAGTGGACAGTGCTCAAAACCTCCCATTTTTTTATTTTTTCATTTGGGAGAGGTTGGATCATATGTGGTTTCATCCCATTTTTTTGAAGGGACGGCACTGGTAACGTGGAATTTAGAATGGGGAAGAGCAGAAAGGGCACTCTTTTTTGGCGCACATGCGTTTTGCAGGTGTATATTCTTTACACTTGCGGCCACGTTCGGGCCGACGCCTCAAGCAAATCTCCTTTTGTTCCACCGAAACTGAAAACTGCGGACATATTGGTCGACGCGTTTTGCGTCACGCTGTCCTAAACCTTCGCGGGTCGCCAGACTGTATGGCACATAATGTTGACTTCCTAATACTAAATGGCCCGTGAATAATACTAGATCTTTTCAAACACCAATATTAAATGGCCCTCAAATAATACTAAATGTTTTCTGGACCTTGATTTTCAGCTGCTTCCAGACCTTGATTCATCCAAGCTGATTCTGAGCTTTCAGCTGGTTCCAAAACCTGATTACAGTATTTTGTGGTTTCCTTTACTCTGGAATTTTGCATTTTCCTTTTAAATTTGCTTATTTGGGCATTGCTAACCTGAAATCAACCCACAAAGATCACCCCCCACGAGCAGCCCAAACCTTCAATTACTCCAGACCTCAAATAATACTAAACAATCCCTGGCTGGTTCTTTTGGCGGTTTCCTTTACAATTCCTTTATTTAGATTTCCTTTTGGTTGAACAGCTTGAGCTTTATTGAAGGCAATCCTTTCTGGATGTCTGATTTGGCTGCTGCATTTTTCTTTTAAAATTGCTTATTTGGGCATTGCAATTTGCAACCTGAAATCAACCCACAAAGACCACCCCACGAGCAGCCCAAACCTTCAATTACTCCAGTACTCCAGGCCTCAAATAATACTAAACAATCCCTGTCTGGTTCTTTTCGTGATTTCCTCTCCTTTCCTTTCATTTTCCTTTCCTTTCCTTTCATTGTCCTTTCAATTTCCTTTGCTTTCCTTTCATTTTCCTTTCCTTTCCTTTCATTGTCCTTTCAATTTCTGTTCTTTTCCTTTCCTTTCATTTTGCTTTCCTTTCCTTTCATTGTCCTTTCATTTCCTTTCCTTTCATTGTCATTTCAATTTTAATTCCTTTCCTTTCATTTCCAATTCAATCAAGATTTTCTAGGATTTTTGTGGATTTTACATTATTTGGGGCCCGCACTTGATCAAGGGGGAGGGGGGGGTTTATTAATAGGAGGTGGACATTATTTCTTCACTTGTCGCCAGACTTCGTGACGCAAGTGCAAGCGAACGTTAACATGCCCCACCCCACCCCACCCCACCCCACCCCACCCCACATCAACCACGAAGCATCAACTTCGTGACGTAAGTGCAAGCGAACGTTCACGTGCCCCACCCCACCCCAACCCAACCCGACACCACCAAAAGTCGCGATTTCCTCTGGGGTCGCTAACAGCGGCGACAGCAAAAACGAAGAGCAATTAGTAAGTCACATGTGTTGCTTGTCATAACTTGTGAGTTACCCATTTACCACAAAGAATGCATTGTTCAATGGCCTTGTTTGGCAGGTCGCCAGAGCACTCAGTGCAGGAGACTCTCAGGCGAGTGGCGGGCTGGGTACCGCTCTATCCTCCAAAAAGGCCTTGGAACCGATTGAGGTTTCTCGGCCAAGAACCGGGGAAGGACTCCTAAACAGAAGATCCTTGAGTGACGATTCTGATTTGTTCCTATTTTCGTGCTCACTCATTTGACTGGACTTTTGCTGCTGCGGAAGCTTGGTAGTCGTATGTGCTCCAAGACCACCTGCAACGCAGGCCCAGCGCGAGCTCAGAGTCTGATCCTGTGAGGCGCGAGCATCAAGCTGCTGTCAGGGCATCCGCGACCAGTTCAATCAATCGTTTTGACATTTGACACCATCTTCTGGTCAAACATTGTGTCCTTTTGTGAGTGATGAATGATGAATTGTCCTGTGATGAATTATGAGGTTCCCAACTCATTTGTTTCGTTCCTGTCAATCTTCTTTCACAACGTTGCAATTGACATGACTTGCCAAGATTGATCCGTGGATGAGCCATACAGGCCGTACTAGGAACCATTGTGGAAAGCGCCTTGACTCAATCTAGCTGGGCCCCAGCCATGGCAGAAGATGGACAGGCGCTCTTGGATGTGGAGTCTCCACCGACACAAGACACGACGGTCGCGTCGACTGCCCCATGCAGCATTTCACGTCGAGTGATGTGCGGAATGGCTTGGACGCTGTTCTCAGTGTGTCTTCTTGGTTGGGCTGTGATCTTCTTCATGCCCACGACTGAAACTGGACGTTCGGATGAGGTGGGCTGTGCAAGTTTCTTTCTGCTTTCTGGCTTTCCGTGTGTCCTGAACCACGCAGATTCTTGGACTTCTTAGTAGGCCTTAGACATAATCATGATTTGACACGTAGGTGATGGAGTTGGCCCAGTTCAAGCCAGAGACGGCCGACGATGTGGAAGCTGAGAAGGCTCAGTTTGGGCAGATGGCTTCCAAGGCTGCAGAGTTGGCGAAGCTCTTGCGAGTGCTCCGTGGCAAAGAACAGGCCTTGAATCCAGTTGCCAGTCCTCCAGCCTCTTAGTTGAGAATTGGCGCTTTCTGTTTTTGGGACATATTGAACTCTGACGCTCGTACACATGCCAATTCTCGTTGAACTTACACTCCCTCTTACAGCTTTTCCTGGTTTTAGGTGATTGCCAATTGCCTGTTTGAATTTGTGGGCCTAGGAACCGGGGATGGACGAGGAATCCAAAGGAAAGATCTTGGACTTGCTGAACACCCTGCAGAGCAAAGTGTCGCCCTTGGATGCGGTGAGGCTGGGCATCAGTGTCACTATGGACGATCTAGTGCGTCTGGGCGTCCCGGACCACAACGACGTGCTGCATGGAGTGATTCCGAACTCGACGCAGCGCCAGACCGTCGAAGTTCGTACCTTGGTCGATCGTGCTGGCGCAGATGCTCCGGGTAGCTTTGGGGCTGGAGCTCCGTGGACGGGTGGAGTTGTGCCGTTCTGCTTTCATTCCAATGTACCTGATAGCGTCCGGAAATTGATTGAGGAGGCCATGTTGGAGTATGAGAAGGCAGTGCCATGCATACAGTTCAAGCAAACCAACCGATCCGGTGACTTCTCGTGTGAAAAGTCCCCTTCAGTGATCATCACTTCCTTTGATGATGGTTGCTTCAGCAGCCATCTGGGTTTGGACCCCAGCGTGACGCAGCAGCAGCTCAATCTACAGGCCCGAAAGCCTGAGAACAGAGGCCATTGCGAGGTTCTTGGCATTGCTATTCATGAACTGGGGCATGTACTGGGGATGGCACACGAGCAGAGTCGCCCAGATCGTGATGACTACGTGACCATCAACTGGGACAACATCTACCAGGGGAGAAGATACCTCTACCAGTTTCGGGTGGTGGACGAGGCAGACCATGAACGTGCTTACGATGTCTTGTCGGTGATGCACTACGGCTCGCATGGCTTCTCCAGAAACGGGGAAGCAACCATCACACCCCGGAATGAAAGTTGTTGGCATTACACCCATGACCACACGTTGTGTGAAGAAATCAAGGCAGACATGGGGCAGCGCTTTGGGCTCACTCAACTGGATGCTGATCAGCTTGGGGACCTGTACAGGTCTCAAAACCCACTCTGCAGGAGCAGCTTGGCTTTGTCAGAACCTTCCGATGGACTTCCCTTGCAGCGCTGGCTGCCGCGCAGCACTCAACCCCAAAACACCATGTACGCGGAAAGCATCTATCCCTTTCATTGCAAAGAGGCAGGTCACCAGCATGCATGGACCACGGTCGGCGGCGGGAAGTTGGAGTGGAAGGATGGGAATCTTGCTTTCTACGAAGGCGACGGAGCAGGCCACACGAAGCCGGGTGCCATTTGGCAGAGTGGGACTTGCGCCCACTGCCATGGTGGCTTCAACCCAGAAAAGAATCCTGGAACACATTTGTGCTTTCAGTGGGATGGCAACCTGCTGCTTTTTGGTCACTTGGGGGTTCTGTTGTGGGCCACGGGCACTTATCCAGGGCGGGTCGCGCCCTGGGGTGGGTGGAAGATGCAGGTCTACGACCACCACTGGGTCATGCTCAGTCCGCCCAGAGCTGGAGGTCATCCGGAGATCTTTCCCTATTCAATGGTACGTTACCCCCGTGATGCTCCATCCTCGGTTGAGATTCTTCCCTGGCACGGCTGCCTCTCTGAAATCGCTTGGACCACGCCGGGCGGTGCCCGCTTGGAGTTTCGAGACGGAGACTTGCGCTTCTATCCCGGTGATGGTCAAGGCAACACCCACAGCACAGCCACATGGTACAGTGGCACCCAGAACATCGGGGAGCGCCTATGCTTCGAGGACGATGCGGTGTGCAAACAGAACGTCACGAGTCCCCATGTGGATTGACATTGGGTTCACATGGGCTCACAGTGCCGTCTTACACACCCACACACACATCGATGTAAAGTCGAGTTATTGAGTTGATCATTTTGGGATGCCCTTGCTGAGTTTTTACCACCTTCCAAAAAAGCTGTGGGGGGCAGTTGTGTGTTCTTTTTTGTGGATACCTTTTTGACGGAAAACGGCAGGAGGGCAACTTGGAGATCTCTTCCGATTCGGATTGGGTCTGGCGTTCGGGCACCTTCGCTGGTGGCCGCTGGCCCGATGGAGCCGTGAAGATCATCGTCTTCGACGTGGAGTGGTCCATGTTTAGCGCCCAGCGCATGGCCTTGGTCACTTATCCGCCCAGTACCAACTTTTTGAAGATGGATCACTTTAGTGCGAAATAGGTGGACGCGAAACAATCGCTATATGCAGTTCTGTGGAACTATGTACAAACTTTTAAGCTTTGGATGTGGGCAAGGTGGCCACCTTTCATAGGAGGGACAAGGGAAATCCATGAGGAACTTATCAGAACTTGGTGAGTGCTGTCGAAACCTGAGATAGTTGCTTGACCCCCAATTCAGAGCCCCATGCTTTAACATGCTTAGCTTATCTTAGCTTGGTCTGCTATAGACCGAATCAGAATCCCTTAGACCGTTTCGAGACTCCCAGATCGTCACCGATCTCAACAGAAGGAGTCTTGTCATGTCTACCTTAAAGTGGGTAGCTGGCACGTGGCTTCGAGTTCCCGCTCAGCTCAGAAGGCCGTGAAAGGAGGGTTTTTGGAAGGACGAAGAGCACGGCCGTGTCCGCCGATCCGTTTCCCTCTGCTTTCAAGCCATGTTCGGTCATGTTTGGTCCAGGTTGGGCCGAAGTGAGGTGAACGGGAGATCCAGGCGAGAGGTTGAGGGGCCGAGATCTTTTCGTCACACCGAGCGTCCAAAAACTAAGAACACTTACTAAAGTTGTTGCTCATAACTTGTGAGTTACCCATTTACCAGGGAGAATGCATTGTTCAATGGCAGGTCGCCCGAGCACTCAGTGCAGGAGAGTCTCAGGCGAGTGGCGGGCTGGGTACCACTTCGAACATCCTTCAAAAAGGCCTTGGAACAGCCTCTTGAGGTTTCTGGAGTGAACATCCTTGAGTATAACCGATTCTGATTTGTTCCTTTATGTTCGTGCTCGTTCGTGTGTCGTGGGGTTGAGCTCTTCCGCCGCCACCGTTGCAGGCCCAGCGCGAGCTCCGAGTCCGATCCTGTGAGGCATCCACGACCAGTATCGACTTATAGCTGTTTTTGGTCAAAAAGCATGTGTCCTCTTAGGAGCGATCGGACGCTACGAACGGGGGGAGCTCCTGGCCTTACAAAACGAACGGAGCGATCGGACGCTAGATGAACCACGAGATGCCCCACTCATCCCTTTCCTTGTTCATGTCCATTTCTTTTGTCCATGTCTTGCCAGGCTGGAGGAGTGCCAGCGATCAGACCAGGCCTTCCGACGCCGACACGGCCGACACGGGACCTCGGCGCCGACACGCGGCGTGGCCCATCACGTACCGCAGCATACCGCAGCCACGGTCGGCGCGCCATACCGCAGCCATGAGGGCCAAGAAACTCAGCAACCCTTGGGATTTCCATGTGGATTGATGAACACCAAGCCACCAAGCCACTTGCTTCACCAAGCCCAAATCCACACAAACCTTCCATGCGACGCACCACCCCCACGGGTGAGAAGCTGGAAAAGCCAACCATTGGAAGTCGCATGAACCCTTTGGGACACACCGTGGAAGTCCAGCGCCATGGCGCTGAGAGCTGACGTTTTCAGCAGGGAGGAGTCCGAGACGTCGCAGGCAGTGGGAGGGATCCGCGCAAGGGGACGACGCTTTGGACAGATGGCTTTTCGGATACAGGACCGGTTTTTGACACCATAAATCCACTCAGGTGCAGCATTTTGTGGTCATTCTGTGAATTTGACATGGGGTCAATTCTCAAATTCTACCCCGCGCGAAATGGGGGTGGTGGTGCGTCAGACGGCCCGCAAGTGGGCGCCGTCGACGGCCGATGGCGTCAGGACATCGCAGAGACGCGGAAGTTGGTGGAGCTGGCTGCGTCGGCGTCCCAGCCGTTGGTGACACTCGTCGGAGCCTGGACGACGACGAAACAGGTGAATTGCTAAACAAATCAAGTCCTGGCCGTTTGACTGTGGGTTCGTCCAAGCTGGAGTCTGTCCACCTTGGACTGGAACTACTATGACACTAGATTCATGATGTAGTGAAGTGTCTATAGCTCACCGATCTCCCAGCTTCTTGGTGCCACCCTACTGATTGTAGGAAACAATTCACACCTCATGAGCGAGGTCTGAATACTACCACTACTACCACCACCACGACTACTACTATGACTATGACATATACTATGACTATGGCCATGGCTATGACTACGACTACGACTACTACTACTACTACTACTACTACTACTGCCTCCGTGCCGAGGCAGCGGTGCTTGGAGCTGCGCACGGCGGTGGAGCTGGCCAAGGCGACTGGCCAGGGCGATGGTACGACGTCGGTACGACGGCGGTAGGACGTAGCCGAGGACCCACTCGTGGATTTCGAGGATTTGAAGATGTGCAACATTCCCATCTTACAACTCTCCTGTTTGGTTTCAGATCATACAGGAGATGGACAAGCAAATCAAACCTTCATCATGTTCCTTTCATATTGCTCAACGAACCTTGCTTGCAACCCCGCTATCAGCACCACTCTTGGATCTTGATTCTTCGCGGTCTCCAGTTTTGCCACGATCTTTTTCCTCACCCAAAGCATCCCATGTCCTAATGATGCCTATATGGATTGACCCCAGGTCAACCACCCCAATGTAAGTCGATAAGGTCATATATCGATGGTCTGGGTGATGTCCTTAACGTCATCGCCATCGGCGGCGCTACACGCGGGGCGCATCCAGGCCGACCAATGCTCCGAGGGTGCGCAGGCCATGGCGGTGAAGGCGCCCCGCAGCGTCTTTTTTTGCGTTTCGATTTTGGGGTAGGCCGGGTAGGTAAAGGAGAAGAAGATCTGGGGATCATTTGGAGCAACAAACAGTGCCATGTTCGGGTTCTGATAGGTTCTGAAGATCCAAGAAACCCACCCAAATCGGCTCTCCTTGCTAGTTTGCTCGCCTGGCAGAATGGCCAAGACCGGCCGCCAGGCCATCATGGACACACCCCAGGTGCGTGCGCTCTGCGCTCGCTTTGAGACGATGTGGAACTTGTTTTTTCTGTGCCAAAAGATTGGTGGAACTTCCCTCCTCGTTTTTTGCGTGGTAGGACTGGATGCAATCATGACTTTGGCTGTATCCACTGACCTTTGTCATGGTTGCCTTGGCCGGACTTTCGATCCTTGCTTGCTATCACTAAAACATCCACAGGAGCCAGTGGCTTGATAGGACAACAAAGGACACTCCCCAATGATTTCCTCAACCTCAAAAACTGTTCAGAACGAAGAGCACGTTTCTTTTTTTTTTGAAGAGATCCATGTGAATATGAGAAGCATCACATGTTAGATTGGCTATGAGTGGACATGATTGGAAGAGATCAACAGCCTCTTCACCTGACTCAACTCAGTTGACTCAATTTCCTCGATGACTATGTTTGATCATGATTCCTTGCTCTTCCAAGTCATTTTCGTTTTAGCAGATACATATGTGTGTTTTCTCACCCTTACCAGGCCTTCCTCACTGAGGATTCCCAAGTCTCAACCTGAAATCGCCCCCGGGCCGGGCCGGGCCGGGCGTTCTCGCGCCGCTCCCGGAAGGTCGTGCGGCCGCAGAGCGTGTCGGCGTCCATGGTGGCGTTGCTACGGAGCTTCTGAGCTGCACTGGACGCATGATGGATGTGCGAAACCGCAGCTGCTGGTCCACTGTTCCAACCCCCGCCCCAGAATCCTGAATCAGCTCCCTTTCTTCCTTTCAAAAGGGCCTTGGCGTTGGCCTTGGCCCGGCCTGCTTTTCGCGTCCCGCCTCCAAGGACCCTCCCCAGTGGCGCGCTTCACGTCGCTGCCCAGCTCGGTGGAGTACCGAGCAGTGTGGCGCTCGGTCGCGGGTGGCGAGTGCCATATGGGCCCCCTTAACAGGATGAAAGATGGATAAGCATGGATAAGCTACAGTAAACTAGAGAGCCATTGGGTCGTCTTCTAATGGCCATTTTTGCTACAGACGTCTATACATGTATAATATAGTTTCCGTGAATCTGGTAGGGTCTTGTTTAGATGGTCCAGACTTCTTCGAAGCTTCGAAGTCTGGAAACCTCTCGTTGCTTCGCCAACGAAAGGTGTCACCGTGCCCTGCACCTTATGTCTGGCCACAACCTGAGAAGGACGCGTTGCGGACAGATCTTGGTCTCTCATCCCTTGACGTTGCCTACCTTCCCAAAGCTCCCAGAGCTGGTTTCAGTGTTTCATGTGGTTCCTGCACTCGCAAGGCACCACATCAGCGGGCTTTCCATGTGTAAGCTGGCTACTTGTGGGAAACCATGTCCAGAAGCCTCCCAGTCAGCGGGGAGAGCCTCGAACTGGAGCAAGTGATGTTTTCGAGCACAACGGAACAACTTTATTCAGGTCAAACAGAGAAGGATGTTTTTGTAAATATGCTTAAAAAAGAATAGAAACACAAAGATAGATACACACATTTCTTTCATTTTCTTTCCTCTGCTCGCTTCTCATTGCTTCTCCAGTCCTTCCACTCACCTTCACCTCAAGGCCGAGTGTGGCACCGGCCGCGCCTGCGGTGCAGTACACGGCGCCGGTGGTGGCTTCGCCGCAGGCGGTTTGGGATGTGCGCCGGCACCGTCGTCCGCCGTCCCTCGGTGCGCCGTCCCTCGCTCACGCGCGGTGGTGCAGGTCCTCACTGCGACGCGGTCGTCTCCGTCAGCCTTTAGGACCATCCAGGTGCGACGCTTCTGCCATGACTGTCCATTGTCCATTCAGGTCGTCGTCGGTATGTAGTCGTTTCTCTCTTTTTGGAGACATTGAGGCAAGAGTCTTGGGGGCACCTCGTGCCAGCATGCCTGTGGGGTGTTTGACTGTACGTTCCCACCGCTTCTTACGGAAGATGATCACCGGTGGGTGAACCATCCCATGGCAGTGTGGGGGGAGTTTCTTTTTTCGGGACAACCCACCTGAAGATTCGAGTATGTGAAAGGGGATGGGAAAAGCGTTGAACTCAGAACTCTGGAGCTTGTTGAGTCTTTGAGACTCACTTGCAAGTGATTGAGCTTCATTCATCGTGTACATGCTTGCTGGAGATTTGGTCTTTGTATGTCTTTGTCAGGCCAACTCTCCATCATCCATGCTGGTATCTCCCATGGATGGACGGTGAGAGCCTGAGCGCGGGCGGTGGACCATCAGTGGAAGCTGGCAGGTGAAATTCCCTGGTTTCACCATGCGACCACAGTGACCACAGGTAATTTGTTTTTTTTGGTTAAAGTTGTTTTTTCGTTGGTTTGCAGCCCTCTCCCCACCTGTACTACCGTAGTACTACCTGTACCCATGCATTTCACCAGCTCCATGGCCCCCTTCTCTGCGGATGCGCGTCGCCGGTGGCGGTCGCTCCAGGACGGTGGTCGCTCAGGGGGCGGTCCCAAGCAATGGTGTGAGACCCGCACGCAGTGGCATGAAGCGGCCGTGAACGCCTGAAGAGACGGGTCGGGAGTGGTGGAAGATGTCAGATATAGATGGAACATGATGGAACACTCACCTTCACCATCCTTCACGCAAGTACTTTGGGCAGAATTTGGTTTTTTCTTTTCCATACAAGTCTAGGACAACCATCATGTAGAGTAGAGATCGCTGTGATATGGCAGATGCTGTCGGAGGACCCCTTTTTGTGGGTGCGTCAAGTGATCCTTCTCTCGCCCAGGTCGCTTCAGCTCTTGTGGGGCGCCTCAGGTCCCATTAGCGCCGTAACTCCACTTTGGTGCTTTGACAGGGACCAACCCTAATAGCCTTAATTTGATCTGATGTGTTTGCGACAAACTCTCTGGAACACGCTCAAGCTTTGTCTGTCATTTGGGCCGCCCCACGGGGTCGGTGTGTCGTGTACTCTGATGTACTCTGCTTAGGGCCGCCCTTCGCAGAGGCTTTTTGCTCAAGTCTCTGACGTCCCGAGGCTCGCGGGCCGGCACTGTGCGACTTGCCAGGTGCATCTCTACCAGGCCATGCCGTCGGCTCCGAGCGCTCCGTCGCGGGTCGCGCGGGGCTCCGCGCGAGCTTGCTTCCCGTCCCCGACAGGCGCCGTTTTCACCCTCACTCTGCTACAAAGATGGAGAGGAGCTTTTCAGAGTACCCGCGTGGGCCCACAGGAGATGTCGGGAGTGAACGGCCTTTGTTGGAAGAGTGAAGAGTGAAACGAAGAGATCCAACAGGGCTTTCCAACAGGGCGTCCAAGCGATTTGACGTTCTCAGTCCGGACTTTCTCAGATTTGGGAGCCTTCCATTGCCGACGTTTTTCCGCTACGAACGGGGCTCCTGGCCTTACTACCAGGAACAAGAAGCTACTAGGGGCCGCTACCAGCGGAACAAACCGCGCAGAGGCTGGATGGGCGGCCCTTCGGACCAAAGGCGGCTTGCTGATGTGGTGAGGGGCTCCCAGACAAACGGAAGCTTGATGGTCCTTGCTGCCGGTGGCAAGGGCTTTAGTGTTAATATTGTTGTTACCATTTTTGTACACTACTGTATATGTACTGTTATCATGTTGTTATGTTGTTACATTTTTGTGACTCTCCAGCAATAAAACACGTGCCCTTCAAGATCCTTCAAGCATTTGGAGCGAGGTACTGAACCTGCTTGTCCTGCTTTCATACGGTTTCTATCCATTTTGACATGCCTCGTAAACTTCCCAATCCTCGACCTTCCCCGAGGCTTGAGCTCGGTGAGGATTCTCTCCTGAGTGAAGCCATTCGCGTCTTTGCCGCCTGTTTTTCTGCATTCGTCCATCGTCCGTCGTGGAACCCCGGACCGTGATGGCGAAGGAAGCACGGACCTTTAACGAGGTCTCAACACATGGCCGCCGAAGCCGTGAACATGTTGAAGGATCCTGAACCCCGAAGCCATCCTTGATCCACTTCAGCATCTGATTGCTTTGGACCCTTTTAAACCCTTGGCTGGTGGCTTCTCTTTCGAAGCTACAGAAATGGCTTCTCTGAAGCTGAAACAATAAAACTCTAAGCCTCTCGAAGCCCCCGCCTCCCCAACTCTTTCGAAAAGACCTCGCCCGGGAAGTGCTCCGATGCCAGGCTCAGGCAACCAAGGCTCCACGCCCTTCACGCCCCGGCCGGGGCGCCGATCGTTGTCGATCGGGGAAGCTCTCCAGCGAAGCAAGATTAGGCAAGCAAGCAGGACTTGTAGCAGCTTTTGCGGTGGCTTTTGCGAATGAAACTCATTAAATATGACTGACATCCAGAAACGAAAGCCCCTTCAGATGCGCTTCATGGGGCATTTTCACGGGATGCGGCCTCTTTGGCTCTTGAGGTTCATCCTCACCGGGGTCACCACCAACGAAGGAGTGGGTTTTCGGCTGCGATAGGAGTGGGTTTTTCTTTTCGTACTCCTGGAGAGTGAGACCTTGTGCTAACATGTCAGTGGAGACGACCAGCTCTCTTCAGACCTCTGCAAGAGACAGGACGACACTCGTCAAGAGTCGAGTGAACTCCGAATCATTCATGGGACCTCGTAAAGCACTTTGGAATCTTAGGACATGGATGAAAAAAGGATGAACACGGTGAGTTCTGTTCTCAGTCACCAGTCATGGTGCCTTTTCTGATTCGGAGGACGGCGATGGTCGAAGACGGCGCCGGTCTCAGTTTCCAATCGGTTCTTCGAGTTCGGCCCCGGTATGGAGAAGGTCGATTTGGACCCCAAACGGGCGAAGCCACACGTTTCTTAACTCGTCTTCGAGTGGATTTCGAGTGCCAGTGCCGGGTAGGGACAATGACCATGTCTACATGTGTCTACCAGAAATCGTTTGATGAGACCGGATCCGTTTTGCCAAGCAACCCCCGTCGAGGACCGCGTCGACTCGCTTGGTACCCTTCGCGAGAAGCTGAGAGAGTACTGCTTCGGGAATCTCAGCAGATCAGAGTGTTGTCGTGATTGTTCTCATGGTTTTTCCTACCTTCAAACGGGTGTGTTGGTGTCTTTCAGCCTGGTTCACAGTGGATGTGGCTGAATGACCATAGCTCTAGATAGCAATGGAAGACCCCCCGCAACCAATAAGTGTTGGATAGGTTTTTGGTATGTTATATAGAAGGTCCATTTCCCTTCTTCCAAAATTCGAACCGGGAGGTCTCCTGATTTTAACATTTCAAGTGGGTAGAGAACGCTACTAGGGTTGTGTCTGCCAGACCCCTTTATTCTAGAAGTTTATCATCTTGAAAAAAGAGAAAAACAAGCAAAAAAACAATCACAAATGCAACCAGAAAAACAAAAGCAAATCATAAAAGCAACAAAAAGCAAACAACATTGCAAGCAAACATGGAACAACTCAGCCGAGCTTTCTGGCGCACTTTTTGAAGGGTCCACGTTCTGGCGCGCTTTGGGGGAGGGTCCACTTTCTGGTGCTTTTGGTCGCTTTCTTTTGTCGCTCTTTTTTCGTTCAAAAAAGCAAAAGACAAAGCGAACAAAACGAAAAAAGAGCGAACAAAAAGCGACCCGAAAGTGCGACTTTTTACCCGGCCCTGGGAAAAAAAGGGGAACAAAAGCGACCAAAAGTGCGACTTCTGACCTTCTTGGTTGCTCTTTGTTTTGCTTGTGCATTTTTGGCTGCACTTTTTTTGGGCTTTTTTCTTGCTTTCTTGGTTGCTCTTTGTCTTGCTGGTGCTTTTTTGGTTTGCTTACTTATTTTTTGTTTTTTTATCGTTTGTTTTTTCAAGCTTGTTGATTTCTAGAATAAAGCCACCTCTGGTGGACACAATACTAGGGGCTCCTGGCCTTACTACTAGGAGCAAGGACGCTACTAGGGGCTCCTGGCATCGCTACTAGGATCATTGTTACTACTAGTAACAAGAAGCTATGCCTTGGATCCTTGAGGCCCTGACCCTGCAGCTTTTAGCGTCGAATGGTGGCCGCCAGGACTGCGGGGCGGTGAAGTCGCAACGTTTTGGGAAACACCAACTAAACCGTATTAAACCATATCAACATTTAAGTGCGTCTGTAGCTATAAGATACTTCAGTACCAACAAACAGTGTCAAAAGCTAAGTCAGTGATGCCAAGCAACGCGCTAAACATTGACCCCTCGAGCGGAGCCGCAGAGACCGCCCACGCGGGGCCAATCATTCGACTCCGCACGGTGCAGGTCTCTGCCCGTTCACGCGGCTGCTGCAGTATCGACTCGGCCATTCGACTTCCGTGCCAGGGCGGCACTTAGTACCAGCGTTTTTTTGGGGAGGTGCTGAGCTGGCATCGAGCCTTCTCCCGGGGTCGGGAAAACAGGGAGGGAAGCCAAGCGATAGATGAACAGAAGTAACACGTCCAGGCCTTTTTTGGCCCTTGGAATTCCTTGGATCTATTTTTCCATAGCCATTTTGGAGCAGCGCCAGGTTGGAGGACATGCTTGTGCTCCATCCCACTGGTGGTGAGGGCACCGGCATCCGCGCCTCCCTCACCGTGGCGACGGAAGGACGGAAGCTGATTTTGTGGGGAAGAAGTCTTCGAAAGATAGCGTGCCAAGTGCCAATCGATGTTTTCCTCCATTTCCCAACTTTAGAATCTTTAGAATCGGATGATTCCTGTCTTTTCGTAAATGTCTTAGCACGTGGGTATGTTCTTTCTCATTCAATGCACTGACCCCTGCCAGCGACAGTTGTGTAGACATACGCAGGATTTGAGATCTTCTCACACTCCTTTCTGTGTATGCCAATGGCGAGAGCGATAGCTGATCAAAACCACTTGATCCACTTGATCATAGCAGACAAACGATCAACTGATGGAAAGCCTCAGAACCTAGGTTCACTCCTGTTCTTTCGCTGATCAAACGCTGCCTTCCTCCGCAGGACCTGGTCGAGGAGGCGTGGATGGAGCATTCAAGGTGGGACCTGCTTCACGGCCCGCGGCGGGTTCACGAAAACCCCTCGGGTTCACGCACCCACTTAGCAAGCATCGACCAACGATTACTGGAGTTTTTTTTTTCGGTTGTGGCTTCGCAAAAAGCTCACATCAAATCAAATCATTTCAAATCCATTCTTTCAGAATTGTTGCTAGCTAGACACGACCGGAGTTGGTTTTCGAGGCATGGCTGAGTTTCTTGGCCACGTCCGGTGGCTACGACTTCAGCGCCTAGCGGGCCCTCCACCGAGTGCAGCGAGCGCATCGCTTTTCGACAAAAAATGCGCCCGCATGGTCGAGCGCAGCGGGAGACGGTCGAGCACGGCGCGAGAGATCTGGCAGCGACGTTCCGTTTCTGCCGGGCCGCAGGTCATTGTGCCATCTGGCAAACCCGGCATGTTGTATCTTTCACGTGAACACCGCGTTTACAGCAGCAGAATTTTGTCGCTTTCGCATTCGCCAGCTTTGATCTGGTGAATGATCCAGGTGGTGGCATCTTCGATTTTGACGCCCTTGATGAGAAAGAGGAGTCACTCGCCAGAGGAGCGAGTTGATCACCCCCATGAGGGTTTCACCGAGCAAGCTCGAGAGGACAAGGCTGCAAGGCCCCAGAGTGTGTCCGATCAAAAGGATGCTTTTGGGAGATTTTCAAAAAAAAGACCGCCTCTTGCTGCTTGCGACGCAAAAAGCCTCTTGCTGTTTGCCAGGGATCAGTTTTTGATGCAGATGTTGAGTCATGTTGAGGCATGTGGAAGCAAGCTGATACCTTCAGCGGAATCAAACACCATGCAGCTTTGCCATCAGAATTCCATGGGTGAACCAGAAACAACAAGAAGTGACATTGTCGTGACTCGTGACAAGGACGGAGTCCAAGACTGAATCTCAGACTCGCCCTGCCAAGTCGAACCTCAGACTGGTACCGTTCAGTACAACATGGTACAATGTCAACCATCAAAGACCCTACCAAGTCGTCTCAAAACTGGTCGGGCGCACGTGACGCGAGTACGTGATCCATGCGACGGCGAGTCGCTGGTTGCTACTTGGTCGGCACTTCGGTGGTACCGCAGGAGCAGAACTGGGAGATGGTTGGAGTCACATTCTTCCAAGCCACCCTGATTGTGTGAGCCTCTCCATGTCAACTCACTCTTCAGAATCAGAACGGAAAAACACGTCGGGGATGAACAAGGGACCAACTCCCTTTCGCCGAACAAGGCATCACTTGACCGCCACGGTCCAAGGCGGCACACTTCGTCTCTTCTTCGCGCTGTCCACGCTGTTGGTCTTCGAGTCCGTAGAGACCCCAGGATGAACACGCATCCACCACATAGCAAAGATGGAGCTCCTGAGGGTTATGAGATGGATTGAGATGGTATGTTGTACAGATTGAGGATGATGCCTTGATTTTTTTAAACGACCACAGTCAAGCCATGCTTGATCAGTGGTTAAAC